AGGTGTCTTCAGCAAGGAGATGGGGATAGAACTGACTCTAGATGAGCACGTCACTCAATCCTTTTCCAAAAGGCAGGTAAGACCTCCCTTTTCCTAGAATAGTAGGAATAGTTTGTTTCTGGCTAACTCTTCCTGGGGAAAGAACAAAGAATTACACTTGAAATCCAGCTCAACAAAGAAGGCTCTCTATTGCCCCAAGTACCTGGACAAACATGCCTGACTAGTGCCTGACTAGTGCTCTGCTTCATCTCCATAACTTACCTCACTCAGGTTACTTTCTCTCTAACACTTTCACAAATTCTCTCTGCCTCTATTTCTCCCTAAGATGAGATACCTAGATCAAGGGGCAAAGTCATGTGATAGGGACAAAAAATGCAAGGCCATACTGTTGGATAACATATCACCACGATCGTAAATCTTACCAAAAAGGAAGCTTGTTCTCTGGTTTCCTATTTACTGTCCTTGAGAGAATAATAAGTGATGTTGAGTCACAAAAGCCTGTAGTCCTTTGCTTCCCATTTCCCTATTGCTATGATGTTTACAACTTTATTTAGAAATAGCTGACTTCACAGCTTTTACCATTCAGTAACCCTTCAACACAAGGGCTTAGAATGAAATCCTTAAAATGAGCTGAGTAGAAATCAACTACTCAAAAATCTAAATTACCTAGACTGGTAGAGGTTAATGTTCTGCATTAAACAGAAACAGAAAGTATCAATTTTGTACTCTGGTGATGCCTGCCAAAGGACTGAGTCAAATAAACAAACACATAAAATATGAGAGATGAGGGCAGTAGGGGTAGGAACACCACTGCAGTGACTGGGAAAGGTCTAGAAAGTGGTACATGCAGGGGTGCCCTAACCTTCTTTCACCTCCATGTACTTCCATCTGGACCTTCAACTCTCCTTTTAAAGTGTAGAGCTGAATGAGAAACAACCTTTTAGTATTTCATTCTACTTATAATTTTTATGGCCACATAACCACCAAGGGCTATACTACTGAGCAGGTACATGGCAGCAACCCATGTTGCATCTGAGATTCCTAGAAAAATAATTACAAGAAAACAGTTAAGTACCAATTTAAGATTTCCATTAACCTTGCCTTTCCTACAATGTTGCTTTATCAAATTAACTCACTCTGAAAAACAGAAAATCCATCATATATATGCAAAACTTAGAAATAGCCTACCCTTTCATTCTACAGGTGAGGGAACAGGTCCAGAATAGTGTTATTTGGTTAAGGTTATATGGCTAATTAGTCACACAGACATGACTTTCCAATATATTGCACAATCCTCAAAGAAAGAGCTTGAAATACCAGGCTCCATTACCCAGTGCATTTAGATACACCAGAGGTTAAATCAACTTATCTAAAGTAGAAAGATGATCAGTTTTATGCTTTGGCCTTCACTATAAAGTAATCCCTAAGGGAGTCCAATAAAGATGCTATCAGGGGTCTTTGGGAGGCAAACAGCCTTTCAGCACTACAGTCTGACAGATTCCTATTTGGACTCCTAACCTATGGGCAAGTGAATTCAACCAAGTCATACTACGTGTGGAGCCCTAATACCGCGTTACTGGTCACAGCAGGAGTATTATCTATACACTTTATACTCTTTAGTACAACCATTATACAAAAGCAAAGTTCAATTTTGGTTCACACTGACCATGAAATAAGACAGGCTAGGAAAAAGTTTGAGGTCGAAACACAACACAAATTGTAGATGTTTAAAAGACAGGTTTGAATATATTAACAAGAGTTCAGTTAATTCATAGAAGTAGAGAGTAGAACTGTGGTTACCAGAGGTTGGAGGTAGGGGGAGAACCGGGCAAAGGGAAACACAGAGTACAGTTACAGTCAGATAAGAACAGATTCTGGTGGTCTACTGTACAGCATGGTGACTATAGTTAATAATGTATTGTATATTTAAAAATAGCTAAAAGAGTAGATTTTAAATGTTCTTACCAAAAATAAATAAGTACTTGTAGTGATGGATACAAGGAGGGACCAAATAAAAAACCTGAATTTTGTATTTATTCTTACATGTTTAGATTTTAGTGACCTTCACAGTACCCTCTGTTTGATACAATATACCTGTTGAGATACTTTTTCCACTGCTCAAGAGTTTTTGAACACATCCATTTTGATGCCTTTTAGTGCTCTTTTTTTGAGGTGAGCTCTTCCCACACAGGCAAAATGTTTCCCTTTAAGGACCTTTTCCATCCAGGGAACATTGTAAATAGAGAGGGTGGGGCACAGGAATCATGATGTTTGGGTCAAAACTTGCTGAACACTCAATGAGGTGTGAGTAGGTGCACTTGTAAATCACCCATCATGAAATGGACAAACACGTTGAAAGAAATCTCAAAAAAAAAAAATTCACAATGACATTAGCTGGTACAATGATGCTGATAGGTTCCTAGAACACTTACCTAGTAGGGGAAGCCTGTACTACAAGGGGCCCACCCCCCAAAAGAAAATTTCTTGGGGGTCCCTTCTCATATGTTAATTAGCCTGATTTGATCATCCCATAACATATATGTATTATCAAAACATCACATTGTACCCCGTAAGTATATATAATTGTCAATTAAAAGTAAAATAAAACTTAAAATAGTTCAGTTACTATAACATGGCTTTCTTTTTTAGTCTTAGAAAACTTAACTGACCCATCTGCAAAGCAGAAATGGTAGATTTTCATATCATATCTTAGGATAGTGGCATTGTACCATAATAGTACTGGCAACCTATCCAGAAAAACCTTTCCATAAAGAGCATAGCAAAATAAGTCAATGAAATTCGTAATTTCATATAAAAATAAAATATAAGATCAAATGAGATCAGAGATTCAGATATTTGTATATTCATTTTCATAATGGCATTATTCACAATAGCCAAAAAGTGGAAACAATCCAAATGTTCACTGACAGATGACGGTTAAACAAAATGAGGTAATACACAATGCAATATCATTCAGCCTTAAAATTCTGATACCTGCTACAGCATAGATGAACTTTGAAAACTTTATGCTAAGGAAAATAAGCCAGACACAAAAGAACAAATATTATATAACTTTACTTAGAGGAGGTACCTAGAAGAGTCAAATTCAGATTCATAGAGACAGAAAGTAGAGTATTGGTTACCAGAAATTGAGGAGAGGGGAATTGGAGAGCTATTGTTTAATGGATACAGAATTTCAGTTTGGGATGATGAAAAAGATTGGAGATGGATAGTGGTGATGGTTGCACAAAAATGTGAATGTACTTAATGCCACTACTGAAGTATATATTAAAAAATGACTAAAATGCTAAACTTAATGTTATGTTATATGTATGTTACCACAATAAAAAATCCAATGAGGAAGACTAAGTAGAAATTTCTTTTATGATTTTGACCCAAATCCTACTCCCCAGCTTAAACAAACAAAATACAAAAACAACAAAAATCAGTATTACTCACAGCATTAGAGCTTAAGATACACATACATCACCAAATAAAAACAGACTTCAGTTCATCACCCCAGAGTCATTTATCCTGTGTTTATTACTAAAATAACTCATGTCAATCATGATTATGATGTATTCATATTAAGTACAAGCTCCAATCAAACATACAGAGAGAAAGAGGGAGAAATTAAAGCAATGGAATCATGTCAACAGATGGACATAGCAACCGTCTGTTGACATTAATGTCCTCTGAATCGAAGAGACCCAAATCATGTGGTAGGGCAGGAACCTGCACCTTAGCCGTGAAGTCCTACTTTCATGTCATAGGGCACTTCTGAAAGGAAGTTCTATAATGGCCAGCTCTAAGTACTTGCAGATTTCCTACCAGTCCTACACAGGAAGTCATTCTTGTGTCTCACCTGCACGAGTTCCTGTTGTGAGGCCAGGGGACTGGTGAATTGAAATCGAGTTCCAGAGACTGATGTCATCCTGACTGAACTATGATCCTGGTGACCTGCTCTACAACCTGGTGTTGTTGCAGCCCTTCAGCTGGGGTTCGGGTTATAAGGGGACTAAAAAAGGAAAAGGGGAGTAGAATGATAGAAAAAGGAAAAATGCTTGCACATTTCCTTTGTTTCACTAGAACATTTTCTGCTTATATTTAATGTGATGGGAGAACCTGGTAGATGGCAGGTGGAAGCTGTACAGATGGTCTTGGTGTGGTGGTGGTGGGGGAGCTCTCATACAGATCTCAAAAATACAAAGAAGATTAAAATATACAGAACATTTTTATTATTTCTGGTGGCCCTCTAACTTGGAAACAGTACTTCTCTCTTCTTTGGCTAAAGTTTAAAAAACAGATGTTGACACTTAAGACATTTGTAAATTTTTGTAAACAGTGTATGACTACAGGGGCTACCTTAGCAACATAAAGAAATAAAAAATACAAATGCTTCCAGATGTGTGAATACCTATATATATATCTATATATCTATAGATATATAGATTTTTTTTTTTTTGAGTCAAAGTCTCACTCTGTTGCCCAGGCTGGAGTGCAGTGGCATGATCATGGTCACCGCAGCCTCGATCTGCTGGGCTCAGGCAATCCCTCTGCCTCAGGCTTCCAAGTAGCTGGAACTATAGGTGCATGCCACTACGGCAGCTAATTTTTTTTTTTTTTTAATTGTAGAGATGAGGTCGCGCCACATTGCCCAGGCTGGTCACGAGCCTCTAGGCTCAGGCAACCCTCTTGGGTCTGCCTCCCAAAGTGCTGGGATTACAGGCATGAGCAAGAATACATGTATATTATTTCTACATCATATCAAGTAGATTAGGAGCTCAAATTTGAAAATTTCATCACCATAAGTAATAAACTAGGATTGCCAATCAATTCCACTTAGGTAAGATCCTTTGCTTCTTTTATAACAAGCCAAAAAGTAAAATGAAACCAAGCATAAGAAGCAACAGTAGAAACTGATAACATTCCATAATAAAAGGAACAGAGGTTTGTCTTTTTAAAAAAAAACCCAAAAACTATTAAATGAAGGAGAGATCTAATGTTTTGCCATGTTTATTTTACAGCATGACTTCTTAGTCCTTATAAGGTTGATACAATTTGGGAAAATTAAGACTCCCTTCCCTTTTTTGTTGCATGTGTGTTAGCAAGAGTAGGAAGAATAGAATATGACAGAATAAGCAAAGGGTGCAGGAAATGGAAAGATGATGCTGAAGAGAGAGGATTCAGATGAACTCTTCTCTAAATATGCAGTATCAGCCAACAGTATACAAAGCTGAGGACATGGAGCGTGTTCTTCTCAGAAGTAATGTGGGACCACATTCAACATACATTAATTATACAGCATCATGGTACAGATTTTCTGTCAGACATTATATGTATATTCTTTTTTTTCTCATTTTTAAGCTCCATATATGACATTGTTCATGAAGCACTTTTAGTATATTATTAAGCAAATATTAACTTGATCACATAAACCAATCCTGGTTAGCAGAAAGTTCTGTTAGCTGCCATGTAAAGGTCCTTCCCTCAAATAAAATTTAATTCTACACTTAGAGCTTCATATCAGAGGAACTTCTTGAAGAAGAAACTCTTCCAGTTGTGTTTACAATTCATCTGCAATACTAAATGTAGATTAAATTAAGGTCATACCTTGGTATTAAGTAACAGCCCCTGGCAAAATTAGTTAATATCTTGTCTAGACAGTAACAGAATAAATGAATTGTTCTCTTTTGGCCTTTTCCCATTTCCTAATCCAAATGCTTTGGTGCTCCATATGCAGCTGTGAGGCAGGGCTGCCTCTGTGCTGGTGATGCCTGTCACAGAGATGAGAATGTGCAAGGATAACCCTGCATTATATTCATCTCATTAGTTCTGCCCAATCCACAGGGGTAAAAAATGGATGAGATTTGATATCTTCAACACCAGCAACTCCAGCACCAAGTCGTTCCAGAGGGTTGAACTGCAAGAGCTAAAAAAGAAAGATTTAGTAAGTAACAGGAATCCAACTAGTGAATGAAAGGAAAACAAAAATATATAAAAGGAAACAACTCCTAAAGTCAACCCCAGTGACAAATGGACTGTTTTCTTGAAAGAGAGCTATATCTAATACCACCGTAACTGTGAGTGGTGAGAGACACTTGAACTGAGTTCATGGTTTTCCAACTGATGTGAAACATGGCCTTGAGTAACTCACTTGGTTTCCCTCATCCTCATAGAGTATAATAGAATAGTTACACCTATCAATTTCCTACTCCAAAAGTACACTGTGACATTAATTAGACTTAATCCTGAGACAGTCAATTACTATTTTCATGATTAGGAAGTTTGGGAAGCACAATAAGTCTTTCAACCCCTAACAAACTATATATATGCACTGTAGTTAAAGTGCATACCTAAGGTGTGAATAAGTGAATTTGTATTCCAAAATTACTTTCTTTATTCAAATGAAATAATTTGATCCAATTAAAACATGTTTTAATTTCTTCAGAAATAGGAATAACATATAAAATAAGTTAACAATGCTATATGCAACAAGACTGTTAATAGTTATGTAATAGTTATACGGGGACTCTGGGCATGCTGGAAGAATATGCCTTGAGACATTCATGCATCCGTATTTTTTTATTTTTTTTACTTTTGAGAAAGTGAGACTTATTGAGAGGACAGAAAAGCTCCCAGTACAGGAGGAGACCCAGGGGTTACCAACATCATCAAATTTTTAACAGCTTTACTGAGGGATCATTTATATAGCGCAAAGTTTGCCTGTTGTAAGTGTACAATTAAATGGCTTTCAGTACATTTAAAGCCAGGCTTGGTGGCTCAGCCTGTAATTCCGCGCCTTGGGAAGCTGAGGTGAGTGGATTGCCTGAGCCCGCAGGTTCGAGACCTGACTGGGCAACTTGGTGAGACCTCATCTCTACAATAATTCAAAAAATTAGCCAGGCATGGTAGCGCGCGCCTGTAGTTCCAGCTACTTGGAAGGCTGAGGCAGAAGGATTGCTGGAGCCCAGCAGGTCGAGGCTGCGGTGGCTGGGAGTGGCCACTGCACTCCAGTCTGGGCGACAGAGTGAGACTCCAACTCAGAAACAACAACAACAACAAAAGAATTGTGCAACCATCACCACAATCTAGTTTAAGAATACTTTGATCACACTAAAAAGTGTCCTCATGCTATTTGCAGTTACTACCCATTCCCATTCCCAGTCCTAGTCAACTACTGATCTGCTTTCTGTCTCTATAAAGTTGCCCTTTCTGGACATGTTATATAAGTGGAATAATAAAATATGTAGGCTTTTGCAGCTGCATTCTTGTACTCAGCATAATGTTTTTGAGATTCATCTACTTTGTAGCAGGTATCAACAGTCCATTCCCTTTTACTTCTCAGTAGTATTCCAGCTGTTGGGATATGCCACATTTTGTTAGTCTAGTCACTAGTTTATGGACATTGGGTCTTTCCAGTTTTGGCTATAATGAATAATGTTGCAATTAATATTCATGTATATGCCTTTTTGTGGACATATATTTTCATTACATTTGATTACATTCCTAAGAGTGTAACTGATGAGTAACTTTATGTTTAACTCCTTAGGAACTTGCCAAACCTTTCTAAAGTGGCTGTACCATTTTGCATGCCTACCAATAACAAGGGTTCCAGTTTCTCTATATCCTCAACAGTTGGTACTGACTGTCATGGGTTTAGTGGTATCTTACTATGGTTTTCATTTACATTCCCTAACAACTAATAATGTAGAACATCTCTTCATGTCCTTATTAGCCATTCATACAGCTTTCATGGTGAAATACCCAATTTTCTGCCCATTTTAAAACTGAGCTATCTTATTGAGTTACAAGAGTTCTTTATACATTCTGAATATAGGTCCTTTATCAGATACATTATTTGCAAATATTTTCTCTGAGTCTGTGACTTGTCTTCATTTTTTAAATGGTGTCTTTTGAAGTGCTCAAGTTTTTAATTTTAATGAAGCCTACTTTATCCATTTTTCTTTTTATGAACCATGCTTTTGGTGTCATATCTAATGACACTTTGCCAAAACCAACATCATAAAGATTTTCTCCTGTGTTTTCTTCTACAATTTTATAGTTTTACCTCCTATATATAAATCTGTGAACTATTGTGAGTTACTTTTTGCATATGGTTTGAAGGGCCTGAGTTCATTTTGTTTTTAGCATGTGAATATTTGATTTCCCAGAACCATTTGTTTTCTTAATTACCATGGCTTTATAGTTAGTGTAGGAGGATCAGGTAGTATAAGTCCTCCAACTTTGTTCCTTTCAAAATTATTTTGGATAATCTAGGTCCTTTGCACTCTCGCGTATATTTTGAGCCAGCTAAAATTTCCCAATTTTGCTGACCTTTTCAAAGAACCAAACTGTGATTTACTTGCGTTTTCTCTATTTTTCAGTTTTCTATCTTATTTATTTCTGCTTCCTTTCTTCTGTTAGCTGTGAATTTACTTTGCCTTTTAAAGTTTCTTTTTTTGAATTTGGAGACACAGTCTCACTATGTTGCCCAGGTTGGACTTTATTTCCTGGGCTTGCATGAGTCTCACACCTTGGTTTCTCAAGTAGTTGAGACTATAGATGCATGCCACCACTCCTGCTTCTTTTCACTTTCTTAAGGTTTAAACTTGGATTGTAATTTGAAACCTTCCTTTATTATGTTTGAAGTCATAAATTTTCCTCAATAACCGATTTAGCTGCATCCTATAAATTTTGATATGCTGTGTTTTTTTCAGTTTAAAAATATTTTCTATTTTTTTTGAGTTTTCTTCAACTCAGACATAACTTGGAAAGTGTACTGTCGAATTTCCAAATATTGGTGGAGTTAGCAGATCTCTGTTGTTGATTTCTAATTTAATTCTGTTACAGTCAGAGTATATTGCATGATTTCAATCCTTTTAAATGTTGAAACTTATTTTACGGTCTAGCATATGATCTATCTTAGAAACTGTTTCATGTGCACTTGATAAGAATGTGTACTCTGCAGTCACTGGGTAAAGTGTTCTATCCGTTAGAGCTGTTTAACAATGTTGAGTCTTACATATCCTTGCTGATTTTTATCAATTATCGAGAATGTGGGTTTTTAAGCCTCCACTTAATATTACTGAATAGACTATTTTTTCTTTCAGTCCAGTTAGATGTTGTTTCATATATTTTGAGGCATTAGTGCATACACATTTAGAATTGTTACAGGTACCTATGTACCAACATCATGAAACATCTGTCAGTCTTTAGTAAATCTCTTGTCTTAAGTGTCCATTTAGTGTGGTATTTGACATAGCCACTCCAGCTCTTTTATGGTTACTGTTTACATGATTTATCTTTTTCCATGCTTTCTTTGTGTCTTTGACATTAAGGTGTGTCTCTTGTTCACAGAAGATAGCTGGATTTACTTTTTTATTCAGTTTAACAATATCTGTGCCTTTTGTCTGGCATGTTTAGACATTCACATTGAATGTAATTATTGGCATAGTGGGTTCACGTTTGCTATTTTGCTACTCATATTCTAGCTACTGTGTTTTTTGTTCCTCCTTTATTGCATTCTTTTGTGTTAAATGCTTTTTACGATACCATTTTAGTTCCTCTACTGATTTTCTTTTACTATTTTGTGTTTGTGAGTTTTTTAGTGGTTGTTTTATCCTTCCAATATGCAACTTATTTTAGCACTTCAGAATATATCACTTTTAACTTATCTACTTCAGAATCACTGTAACAATTTCAGCAAGAGGTAAAAGCTTTGTTCCATTATAGCCCGATTCCTTTCCCCCTTCAACTATTATTGCCATATATATTTGTATAATGATTGCATCTATATATGTTACAAACCCAACAGTGTGGTTTTATAATTATTGTGACATACAATGTTATGTTTTAAAAGAAGTTGAGAAGAAAAGTAAAGAAGATATTTAGTCTTTTATATTATCTGCCATTTCCAATGTTCTTCATTTCCTCCTTGGGCTCATGTTACTATCTGGTATCATTTCCATTTCAGCCTCGAGGAATTCCTGTAGTATTTCTTGTAAGGCAGGTCGCTAGCAATGAATCCTCTCCATTTTGCTTTATTTGGGAGTGTCTTTGTGCACCTTCATTTTTGAAGGATAATTTTGCTGAGTTCTTGGTTGATTGTTACTTCCTTTCAGCACTTTGAATAAAATGTCATTCTACTGTCTTTTGTCTTCCATTGTTTTTGATGAGAAGTTAGACATTGATGATTCCTTCTGTGCGACAAATTTTCCTTTGACTGATTTCAAAATTTTCATCTTTGTGTCTTTCAACAATTTGACTAAGTGTGGATATACGTTTTTTTGTTTTTTGGGTTTTTTTTGAGTTGGAGTCTCACTCTGTCACCCAGACTGGAGTGCAGTGGCCGCTCCCGGCCACCGCAGCCTCAACCTGCTGGGCTCCGGTCATCCTTCCGCCTCAGCCTTCCAAGTAGCTGGAACTACAGGTGCGTGCTACCACGCCCGGCTAATTTTTTGAATTATTGTAGAGATGAAGTCTCACCAAGTTGCCCAGGCGGGTCTCGAACCCGCGAGCTCAGGCAATCTACTCACCTCGGCCTCCCAAAGTGCGGGATTACAGGCTGAGCCACTGAGTCCGGCTGGATATATGTTTAAATATATATGTGTGGACCTCTTCGTATTTTCCTACTTAGAGTGTGTGGAGCTTCTTGATGCACAAATTAATGATTTTCATCAAATATGGGAAGTTTTTAGCCATTATTTCTTCAAATATTTTTGTTGCTCCTTTTTTCCTCTCCTTCTAGGACTACCATTATATATATATATAACTTCAAAGACCTCTATAAAATCTCCTCACAGATCTCTGTGGTTCTGTTCATTTTTTTCATTTTTTTGGTCTATTTTTCAGATTTGATAATTTCTATTAATATATCTTCAAGTTCATTGATTCTTCTCTCTCACATTTGCTGTTAGCTGCTTCAGCAAA